TAGGTACATAAACTCGACCAGTAAAGCTTCATAGAGAGATGCTTCAGATACCTTTACCTGAGTCTATGTGTGTTGAATCTGACCATGCAGAGAACAGAGCCCATGATGAAACACATTAGAATGGGATCCAGGAGAATATACTGAGACAAGGTGATACAGCCAGTGTCTGTTGTAAAATACATCAGTGGATTTAGATCATCATCGTAATGCCCTCACTCAATACAGGTCAGCTCTGTGTTGATGATCACTACCACACTCACCAAAGATAAGCAGAGAGGCTGCGATGAGCGCTGCTGGCGTAGAATGTGACAGCTCCAGAACAATAAGGCAGGCAAAAGGAGGAAGACAGGAACCAAGAGCTGCACAGAACTAAACACAAATTCATCACCGGGATTAAAGCTCACATTTGAAGAATAATACATCAGCAATGCAAAGAAAAGCTAACGGCAATTTCTTGGAAAGTACAATTCTTATTCCACATAAAATAAAGAGGCATCATATACATAATCAGAATAACTTTTGGACCTCCAAGTATATTTCAAATACAACTTCAAAAAATATATATTTGCATTTTTCAGCTGCAATTTTGCATGGTTTAATTAAAAAGAAATTTGTGTTTTGGTGTATGATATCTATGATAATGTAATATAATTTAATGAAGAATATTAATTATATAATGAACATATACATATACACAATGCTTCAATATATTATTTATTATACAATATCATTTAGAAGTTTGGGGCCTGTAGGTTTAGGTTTTTTTCAAACAAGTTTTAAAAAGTCTCTTATGCTGCATTTATTTGATCAAAATACATTAAAACAGTCATATTTTGAAATATTATTGGAATTTAGAATAACTGTTTTCTAGCTTAATAAGCAAAAGCTATATGTGACCCTGGACCACAAAACCAGTCTTAAGTCGCTGGGGTATATTTGTAGCAATAGCCAAAAATACATTGTATGGGTCAAAATTATAGATTTTTCTTTTATGCCAAAAATCATTAGGATATTAAGTAAAGATCATGTTCCATGAAGATATTTAGTACATTTCCTACTGTAAATATATCAAAACTTCATTTTTGATTAGTAATATGCATTGCTAAGCACTTCATTTGGACAACTTTAAAGGCGATTTTCTCAATATTTTGATTTTTTTTGCACCCTCAGATTCCAGATTTTTAAATAGTTGTATCTCGGCCATATTGTCCTATCATAACAAACCATACATCAATGGAAAGCTTATTTATTCAGCGTTCAGATGATGTATAAATCTCAATTTCGAAAAATTTACCCTTATGACTGGTTTTGTGGTCCAGGGTCACATATTTCAATTATAATATGAAATTTGATTAAAAATGAATTGAAAAATAAAATTACTTGAAAATTACTTCAAATTAACCGTCTTAAAGATATGCATAAATTGAACTGGGATTTACCGCTCTCATCCCCCAGTAGTTGTGGTGCTCATATTTGTCCCCTGGTTTTATGAAGGGAAAGGTCCCATCATAGCCTGTCAGGTATCCAGCGAGGCCGATCAGCATCTGAGTGAGGAGTGTAGAAGCATTCTTTTGAATCACACTACAAACTACACAAAAACTGACAAAATAATTCACATGATCTTACAACCAGCAGGGGTCTGAAACCCATACCTTTCCAAGGGGTGGATGGACATCAAAGAAGAAGGTGCGGTTAATGTAATAGCTTCCCATTTTCCCGAAATGAGTCTCATCCCAACTGCAAATGGACCATAATGTTCACTGATCGTGCATTGATAGTAGGTTTACAATCACAATTTTACCCTTACAGTAAATACTCACCATACATGTGGAGGCTCAGTGATTTTGTAAAAGCGTGTACATACAGAGAGCACAAGCACCAGAACCAGAGTATAAACTGGCACATGGTCATCTCTGGAGGGAGAACTGCAGGTGTCCTCCTCGTTTGGGGATCCTTTTATTCGCCTCATTAGAAGTCTCACTAGCAGGCTGGGAAAGGCACTCAGCCCCCTCGTTTGTCTTACATGTTTTTCGATGTCTTACAGCTGATGTGTCTTGTATTTGCGTGTAATGCTCCTTCTGTCTGCCGTCCATTAGCAGCTTTCTTGAAGACAACGAGTCATTATCAAAGTAACGTTAGCGAATCCAGCAATGTATAAAGATAGTTTCTTCAGTCGCAGAGTTTAATTAATAAACAACGAATCCTCACAGGATTTAAGACCTTGCAGTCTGGTCGTGTTGTATTGTAGCCCTTTATTGTCACTGGTCACAGGTACCAGCGAAATTCAGCGACGTTGACATGTCGCTGAATGAGTAATAATCTTGCTCATCACTACAAGGATCCTAGTGCTTTCCAGCTCATGTTTGTTGTGCATGTCCATAAACTGTTCTTCTTCTTCTTCGTCTTTAAATTTTATTGAAAGGTGCATTTACCGCCACCTACTGGACTGGAGTGTGGGCAGTACTTTGAAAGAAAGGACAAGGAGAGGCGGGGGAAAAAAACGTTTATATTATATATATATATATATATATATATACACACAGAGGGGGAGA